CACACACACACACACACACACACACACACACACACACACACACACACACACTCCTGTAGCCAACAAGTTCAGAACTTGGGCAGAGGCTGTCAGAGCAAGGTAGGAATAGAGGGTTAGGGGCATTGGGACAGGGTTCTCATTGGCTTTTTCTCGATTTATGCGTGTCATCCTTGCGCAGGGGCCATGCTAATCTTCTCTGTATCGTTCTCATTGGCTTTTTTGATAGTAGTATGGATCAAAACCAGAAATGCCACGGGTATGTGATCCCGGGCTAGACCTGAGACCCGCTGCGGCCCCTGCTGGACTAAGTGTCTAAACCAGTGCGATAGTTTGTGAGCGTAGCAACCGGGTCTTGAACCGGCTTTTCGTTAATTTTTCGGTCTTTTCTGGCACTACCATAGGAGATCGTTTTTTTTCTGGCACTACCATAGGAGAATTTGTTCCTGTTATTTCTTTGGATTTGAACCCGTTACCTGAAGAACAGCACGGGCCCAGTCTGCCCTGTAGGTAGACGTAGCTTGTACTTTGGGACGAGCAACCGTAAGGAGGGGTGAAAAAGGCTGAGGGTTAAGGTATCAATATATACGTCATCATAAAAATAACGACGGAATGTAAAAAAAAAAAAAAAAAAAGACGACGAAGCAGGATGTACGCGATAATTGGACATAGTAATACATACGTCGAACGTAATTTAATGGTGGCCATTCGAACGTCCGGCGCAGCCATCCGGGGGCAAGGTCCCACTTGCACGGATTAGGAGATTTCGGCCGTTGATCTTTGCTATCTACGGTCAGTATCTCTTAATTCGTGCAAGTGGGACCTAGCCCCGGTGCTCGGGGCCGGCGCCATCGTACTTTTTCCTTTTTTTTTCAGTTTTCGACGGAGCGAAGGGCCGTCAAAAATTCTACGCAGTCACATTTCGGTCAGTGTAAAGCTGGTTTAAAAAATAAAAATAAAAATAAAAATTCTACGCAGTCACATTTTGGTCACAGTGTGATGGTCCAGCAGAGAAGAACGACGATTGATGAGACTGAAGAACGACGATTGATGAGACTGAAGAACGGACGATTGATGAGACTGAAGAAGGACGATTGATGAGACTGCCGGGGCTTTATTTATTTCTTTTTCGTTTTTGCTAGACGTCCCACAGAGGCCGCACGTGGCATTACTCGCGCCGGGGCACGGTTCCACTACGGTAGCACAGCAGTGATGGCCTATTTTTAGGACCCGTGCTACACCCAAAAAAGGAAGGTGAAAGGCCGCGAAGGAGCGCGGGAGCAAAAGGCCAATCGCTTCCGAACAATTCTCTTCATTTCATTTTACTTTATTTTGAAAAGCCGACCACCTTGAGATAGCATCCTTGAACTGACCGGCCGAGGTAATTCAGAATTTGATATTTATTATTTATTTGATTCTGTGCGTCTAAAGTCTAATTGCATCTGGATTCGAACTTCAAGTTGGCTCTGTATTTTTTTTTTTTTTGAAAAAACCCTCACTCATATTCCAAAATCCCATATAAACCGAGTTTGGGGTCCTCACAATTCAACCCGGAGTTATCCCGGCAGCATACTGAGCTAGGCCGGTTCGTTCTCTTCGTTTTCAAATTTCAATATGCAGTAGCACATGTTAGTCTGAAGAAGACCAGCCCCTGGTGTATTTGCCATTGCACGGGCTGCATGATACCTCTTTTTTATTTTTTAAATAAATGCATGCAACTCACCTAGACGCACAAAACAGTCGCAAGGAGG